ATATGAAATGTGAGCTTCAGACAGAGGTCATTTTTCTGTCCCTGCTACCTGAGATCATTGGAGATTGAAGTGTCAGCCAGAATTGGAACCTGGGGCTTTCTATGCATATAGTATGTAAAATACTTCCCTTCTGTGCATGAGTAGCATCTACATTTGAGTGTTTCTGGAAGAAACCATGAATCAAGAGCAAGTAGGATCTGGAAGGCTCCTACTATGTGCTGTGTATCTATGTGATCAGTTTCTTTTTTGCCACATGGTAATACCCTGAAATATGTCCAGTACAAGGGATGTACAACAGATAGTCTAGTGCTTGGACCTGATCTGTTTTCAATACAGCCTGGATCTCTGCAGGTTCCTTTCTTATAAACCAGAGGTGATCAGTTTGGAAAATGATTTATTTTGGGGCCCAAAAAGATGCAACCTACTTCCCCAATATTGTTAAAACTGACATTCACACCACCTGGTGCTTTCTGGGGAGTGGGGTGTAGTTGCCCATTTTTGGGCTGCAAAGTGTTTTGATAATGGAGGAATTTTAGGGAGGTTAAACTGGGAAGTTCAGTACACCACAAACAGGCCACAGGGCACATAACCCTTCCTCCCAGTTTATCAGCTAATTATTTTAAATGGCAGTTTCAGCAGGATGAATGTTGAATGGTCTTGGTCACTGGTTTCTATGCCATGTCATTCAAAAATTATTATTTCCTCTGATTTCTTGGTTCTGCTAACTATCTGGCCCCTCTAGGAATGTAGCAAGCAGTCATCCACCAGGCCAGGCTCTTTCTGTGTTTCAGTGCTGGACAATCAAGAATGTGCAGGAAAAGAAAAGAAGATTCCACCCCCCCCACCCCCCGTACCAAGAAAAAAAATGGCATAGAAAAAGAGCTGTTTGCTTGTTTGGTTCTGCTTTCCAGTTAAGTCAGAGGTTGTGGTTCATAGTTGCTTCTTCCTCTTAGTCTAAACAGTAACGGAAGCTTAAGAGAAAGACAACATGGAAAGATTATGGCAGTAACTATGGGCGGTTTCCTTTTTGGACTATAAACCCCAATATCTTCCACCTCTGAAATAAAATTGGGACATGCTGCTTTGAGGATTCTGAGAGTTACAGTCCAAAAACGAATGCTTTATGGCACTGGGGGAAACAATACATGTTCTGAAAGCCCATCTCCAGGATGTAAGGCAATAGATGTTGCTTTTCTTCCCATGCTAATGATATCCAGAGGTCTACTGCCACTAAACCTGAACTTTCCATTCAGATATCAATATAGTTGCTGACAAATGAGTCTCCAAAAATCTCTCCAACAGCATATTCTGTACTAGATCAATATTTAGGGTCCTTTAATACTACACAATTATAAGACTATTTTGACTGCCATGGCAGCATCCCATGAAATTTTGGAATTTGAGGTTTGGTGAGGGACTAGACCTCTCTGGCTGAAAATTCTAAATACCCCCCTTACCCTGCAAATCCCAGCATTCCACAGGATGTTGCTGTGGCAGTTATAGTGGAATCATAGTGCAATAACTTTGTCATGTGAGAGGGCCCTAAGATTCCATCCTTTGAATAGAGATGGGGAAATCTGTCAGTTTTGCTTTCTTTCACGTGCAATCTTTTTTAAAATCTCAAGTTCTTTCTGTACCAAATATATATTTGTTAGCTTCATAATCCCTTGGCAATTTTGCCTGGTTCTTTCCTTTAGATGCCTAACTCCATTCCTAAATTTTCAAGTGAAGCTTTGAGTTCCTGTAATGTTAGAAATTTGGGGACTGCAGGAAAATTACATCTGAAGGAAGCAGAAGTCTTATTTTGGGGAAATGCCTACATTTTACTCCTTTCCCTTCGTTACACCCCTGGCTCTACCTTATTTTATCTTAATAAAACCTCTGACTCAGCTGAGAATCATGTTTTGGACTGTGACTTGCAGCATTCTTCACCACTGGTCATGCTAAGGTTAGTGTCAATGGGAGTTGTCCAATTCCTATGTTTATGGTGCCACAACAAACTACAATTCCCATAATTCCATAGCATTGAGCCATGGCAGTTAAAGTGGTGTCAAACTGGATTGTTTCTGCAGTGTGGATACAACCTCAGTTGTTGTTGTTAACTGCCTCTGAGTCAGCCCAACTCATGCCAATCTTGTGAATAAGTCATATCAAGACACTCTTTCTCCATTGCTCTGCTTAGATCCTGCAGATTCAAGCCCATGGCATCCCTTATTGAGTCTAGCATGCAGTCATCCTTTCTGCTGCCTTCCTAGCATTATTGTCGTTTCTAATGAGTCATACCTTCTCATGATGTGGCCAAAATATGACAACCTCAGTTTCATCATCTTGGCTTCTAGGGAGAGTTCTGGTTTGATCTGGTCAAGGACCCATTTGCTTGTCTTCTAGGCTATCCATGTTATCCTTAGCAGTCTCCTCCAGCACCGCATCTCAAATGAGTTGCTTTTCTTTCAATCAACTTTCTTCACTGTCTAGCACTCATATCCATACATGGAGATGAGGAATATAATGACTGGTACAATTCTAATTTTAGTGATCAGTTGTATATCTTTACACATTAGAATTTTCACTAGTTCTTTCCTCGCTGCCCTTCTCATTCCTAGTTGTCTTCTGATTTCTTGACTGCAGTGTCCGTTCTGATCACTGTTTGATCCAAGGAATGGGAAATCTTTAACTATTTCAATTTCTTCATTGATGTCTTATGGGGCCCCTTCCAATCTATGATTCCATGATTCTACAAATGTTTTTGGGCTTGGGATAAGTGCTTTCCCAAATTTTCAAGACTTGAGTATTTTGTTTTGTTTTTAGTTAATATGAGAGAAAACATGACTGACAGATTTCACCCAATGCTGGTGGTCACACATCACCAAAAGAATCCATTTGGTCCTGCTACCCTCACTTTTACATTTGGTGGAGATGTGAGTGAGGGCCTTCTTTATGGTTGTTCTTAGGCTTTGGAATTTCCTTCCTATCGAGGCTAGACTGGCTCCCTCCTGCTGTTCATCCACCAGTGGATGGAGACCCCTTTATTCCAACAGGCTTTGGGGACCTAACTGTTGTAAAAGAAAAGGGTTGTTTTGTTTTGTTTTTTAGTGTGCTATACTATTTTTAATCTTTGCTTTTAAATGCCTATATTCTCAATGGCTTTTAATTCTAAAGACAGTTTGCAAGTTAGCCATAGAATACATTTCAATATGCGTTTATCTGTATGGGTTTATGCTTGTACAGTATTTCTTGTCATCTTACAGTCCCCCTTAAATCCCAGCTGTGGGGGAAAGGAGTGGTGTAAATAAACCCATGCAATATAATCCAGTAAGTGCTTCCTACTCTCTAGAACTCTAATCATTCTTTATCTTTAATTGGACTTGAGAAGGATAGCTGTTCACATACTGGGGGGAGGGATACATATAATCCTTTTACAGTAGCATCCAGCTCACCCAATACACTCAATCCTTTAAAAAGTATTTCTCCCTGAATAAATAGGCTTGGCTAATCCAGGGTAATCCAGGAGTTGTGGGTTTTATGGTTTGATGCCTCCCCAATCCAAAATAGGGATGCAGTGGCTCAAATGGTTAAGACGCTGACTCTGTTGATTGCAAGATCGGCAGGTTGGCAGCTCGAGGCCCAGGTGCTGCATGATGGGGTGAGCTCTTGTCACTAGACCTAGCTTCTGCCAACCTAGCAGTTAGAAAGCATGCAAATGCAAGTAGATAAATAGGTACCACCTCGGTGGGAAGGTAAACAGCGTTTTGTGCAATCATGCTGGCCACATGATCACAGAGTAGTTTCTGACAACGCTGGCTCTTCAGCTTAGTAATGGAGATGAGCAGCACCTCCTACGGTCGGACGCAACTTGACAACCTTGTCAACGGGGAATACCTTTACCTTTACCTCTTACCAATCCAAAAATCTAACTAGAAGTGGATGTCAATGATCTCTTCTGGTTTCATTTCCGTGTATTTGGGCGCAGCTACACTGCAGAATTAAAGCAGTTTTGACACCATTTTAACTGCCATGACTGTCTCCTACAAAATCCTGGAATTTGTAATTTGGTGAGGCATCAGCACTCTCTGACAGACCAGACTGAATACCTCACCAAACTACAAATTCCAGAAATCTATGGGATAGAGTAAAGAGAACCAGCATAGCATAGTGGTTTGAGTGTTGAACTAAAACTCTGGAGACCAGGGTTTGATTCCCTGTTCAGTCATGGAAACTCACTGGATGACCTTGGGCAAGTCACATGCTCTCAGCCTTAGGGGAGGGCAATGGCAAACTTCCTTGGAAGATATCTTGCCCAGAAAACCCAATTATAGGTTCGCCTTAGGGTCACTATGGGCCTTTACAGACTGCCAGAAATAATCCAGCTTGAGACCACTTTAACTGCCCTAAGTGCTAGGGAATCATGGGAACTGTAGTTTATTATGGCACTAGAGCTCTCTGACAGAGAAAGTCCCAGAAAAAAATACAATTCCCATGATTCTCTAACACTAAGCCAGGTTAAAGTGACCCCAATCCGCATTATTTCTGGCAGTCTGTAAAGGCCCTATAACTTGGAAATGACTTGAAGGCACACAACTCAACAGCAATAGTACAGAATCATGGCAGTTAACATGGTGTCAAACTGCTTTAATTCTGCAGTGTGACTATACACTTTGTGAGATATTTTCCCTATATCAATACCCAGTGTGGGCTGCCAAAGATGCTCATGGTGCAGAATTGGCTCCCCAGCCTGGCTAAACCTCATCTTTGATATAGATAGAAATCATACATCTTTGCACAAGGAAAATGTGTCAGTTTTCCTATTTCTTGCTGACCCATCAACATGAAAAGCAAAAAGCCAAGTGTGCATACATCTGAAAGTAGCTCTTGTTAATATAACTTGGGGAAGAGGTGGGTTTTCTTGGATGTGCAGTATCTACTTTGAACACGGACCTCTTATGCTCTCTTGCCTATAGATGCCTGACACAAATAGAATGCTTACATTGCCAAAGGGAGTGATTTTTCTGATGATACTAAGAAATTAGGTGTCTCATTTGCCTGGAAAATGTAATAGGCTCTCATTAGCATATTAAACAAAATAAACAAATTTAGAGTAGGATGGTTGTTTCCTTAATGCTACCTGGGAGTGGCCAAGGGCAAAAATAAGTTGTGAGTAAAGGGAAATTTAAAAGCTTTCTGCAAATGTATGAGAAATCCAGTTGTAAGGTCAATTCCTCATTAATGGCATAGTTTTTAAGTGATAGCCTATATGTATTGTTGTGTACAAAGCTTTCATTATAATTAATTAGTGTGTCACTCTTCAGGGTTACACCATTGCAGGTTTTTAGTCCAATCTATTCAAGGCTTTGTTGCTGGAACGGAATCTGTATTCACACACATTAAGGCTGGAATCCTCTTTCTTACAGCTATAAATGTAATTATTAGGATATTGCAGAAGTAGGTATTTAGTACCTCATTTTGTAACACCCCTTTCCTCTCACACAAGGCAGCTTTTCAGTTCCTGCATGCCCACCTGCAGTTCCAGATATAGTCCTTCTGCCTTATATCTGCTCTCTTCTCCCAGTGAAATCTCTATTCTCCCAGTTCCCTGGGTGTGCATTCCCAGTCACTAAATTTCCTAGTGGGGTATGTGCTGGCACTAGGAAACTGTTTTGCACCGTAAGTGAAAGAGAATAATCTTTGAGCATTATATAAGATCATGGATGATGATTCCATGGCTGTGAGATGCCATATCAATGTCAAAAATCAGACACTGGAATGTTTCATTGCTAAAAAGCAGTTTTGGGATGGTGATATTTTGAGTGGAGGATTGATGGGGGTGAGGTGATGATGAATCTGCTCTTGTCCCCAGCCATTTCCCTTTTTCAAATTAAAATTATGTCCCTCTTGTTGCTTCCTTCCCCTCCCTTATAAGTTTACAAGCATATATGTGCAAGTTAAAGTAATGGTGTTAGTAGCATTTTGGAGTGGAAAACCAGCCAGCAGGAAGAGGGTTAAGGGTACATACCCAGCTTCAAGTGGCCAGTATTCTACATCAGCTACTTCAGCACCAGAGCTTTCTAATAGAGAAGGCTAAATAGCTAAAAAAAAAAACTACATTTCCCAGAATTCCATTCTATTGAGTTATGGCAGATAAAATAGTGTCAAACTGGATTATTTCCACAGTGCAGATGCAGCCTGTTTTTCTTCAGCCTCCTCTAGACCAGGGGTAGGCAACCTAAGGCCCAGGGGCCGGATGCGGCCCTCCAAGGCTTTTGGACCGGCCCCAGGCTGGTCCCGCCGCCGCCGCCGCCATGATGATATTGATTATTGTTGTTATTACTTGTTCTTGGGGTTTTCTTGGCAAAATCTCCACTGGGGTTTTGCCATGGCTTTTCTGGGGCTAAGAGAGTGTGCATGCATATTTTTTATTTTTTTAATTTTTTAAAAACTTTTTAATTTTTATTTTTATTTATTTATTTATTTATTTATTTTTGGTGCTTCGGCCCTCCAATTGTCTGAGGGACAACAACCCGGCCCCCGGCTCAAAAAGGTTGCCTACCCCTGCTCTAGACTGTGGAATGACATGCCGAAAGAGATTTGACAGTCAAATATATTGTCAAAATTTAAAAATGCATTGAAGTCCAGTCTCTTCTGGCAGGCTTATCCAGATGATTTCTAAATTTTGAATTTAGATGATGACTTTTCAATTTGAATTGTTTTAAAATATGTACATCTTATTTGTCCGTTTAAAGTGTTAATAATAATAATAATAATAAGTTTTATTTATAGCCCGCCCCTCT